CTAAAATCACACAGACGTAAACGTCACATTTTAGAGCAGCTTTTGAATGCTGTGATGCTTTTGCTTCCACCGTTTATTTTTCAAGCACTTGACATAGACATTTTTCACCATCCATCAATTCCTCAATTAAATTAAGTTTTGCCATACTTTTTGCTCCGCGTTTGAAGTGCTGTGTGTGTGTATATGTGCTGTGATGGATCTCCTGATGACTCTTAATGGAGCCCGAGACTTTTCCAGAGTTTATATTCACGCCTGAGCCGTACACACACTCTCCTGAATGAACGTGTTTGTCTTAGCCTCATTTTTTTCTCTGTGTCTGAGAGCGAGAGAGACGTTTTCTCGGCTGTGCGTCTCGGGGCCGTTTGATGTCAGATTCATAAATGAATCACACATCAACTTTGGCTTTGAAATTACCCCCCAAAAGATCATTTAAAGTCATAATTATGCTAAATGAGAAGCATTGAATAGAAAAAATTGCTTTAGAAATAAATATTTTGATTCAACATTGCAATAAAGAATGATAGTTTTTTTTAATTAAATATTGATTATTGAAATAGGTGGCAGCAAATCACTGTCTTAATGAGTGAGTCATTGAATCATTCATTCAACCGATTTGTTCAGATGGCTGATTCATTCAGAAACAAAGCTTGACTGTCTTTATTAATGAGTCACTGAATCATTCACTCACTTGATTCATTCAAACCACCCATTTATTCAGAAATTAAGCAAGTTGCTGTCTTTATTAATGAGTCATTGGATCATTTACTCACTAGATTTGTTCAAAAACGTATTCATTCCAACATTTAATAGACATTAACATAATTACACAATCACTTGATGAGGTGCTGTTGCTGACGTAGTGCATGTCTGTTGTCTGTCTATCTGTCCATCATTGTCGGTCTGTCCGTCTGTCTATCTGTCCATCTGTCTATCTGTCCGTCATTTCTGTCTGTCTGTCCGTCTGTCTATCGGTCCATCATTTCTGTCTGTCTGTCTGTCTATCATGTCTGTCTGTCTATCATTTCTGTCTGTCTGTCTGTCTATCATTTCTGTCTCTATCTGTCCATCATTGTCTGTCTATCTGTCCATCATTGTCTGTCTGTCCGTCATTGTCTGTCTGTCCGTCATTGTCTGTCTGTCCATCATTTCTGTCTGTCTGTCCGTCTGTCTATCTGTCCATCATTTCTGGCTGTCTGTCCGTCTGTCTATCGGTCCATCATTTCTGGCTGTCTATCGGTCCATCATTTCTGGCTGTCTATCGGTCCATTTCTGGCTGTCTATCGGTCCATCATTTCTGTGTCTATCGGTCCATCATTTCTGTCTGTCTGTCCGTCTGTCTATCGGTCCATCATTTCTGTCTGTCTGTCCGTCTGTCTATCGGTCCATCATTTCTGGCTGTCTATCGGTCCATCATTTCTGGCTGTCTATCGGTCCATCATTTCTGGCTGTCTATCGGTCCATCATTTCTGGCTGTCTCTCGGTCCATCATTTCTGGCTGTCTGTCCATCTGTCTATCGGTCCATCATTTCTGGCTGTCTGTCCGTCTGTCTATTGGTCCATCATTTCTGGCTGTCTATCGGTCCATAATTTCTGTCTGTCTTATCTGTCCATCATTTCTGTCTGTCTGTCCGTCCATCATTTCTGTCTGTCTGTCCGTCTGTCTATCTGTCCATTTCTGTCTGTCTATCTGTCCATAATTTCTGTCTGTCTGTCCGTCTGTCTATCTGTCCATCATTTCTGTCTGTCTGTCCGGCTGTCTATCGGTCCATCATTTCTGGCTGTCTATCTGTCCATCATTTCTGTCTGTCTATCGGTCCATCATTTCTGTGTATCGGTCCATCATTTCTGTCTGTCTATCTGTCCATCATTTCTGTCTGTCTGTCTTTCTGTCTTATCTGTCCATTTCTGTCTGTCTGTCCGTCTGTCTATCTGTCCATCATTTCTGGCTGTCTATAGATATTTAATAGATATTAACATAATTACACAATCACTTGATGAGGTGCTGTTGCTGACTTAGTGCATGTCTGTTGTCTGTCTGTCTGTCCATCATTTCTGTCTGTCTGTCTATCGGTCCATCATTTCTGGCTGTCTATCTGTCCATCATTTCTGGCTGTCTATCTGTCCATCATTTCTGGCTGTCTGTCCGTCTGTCTATCGGTCCATCATTTCTGGTTGTCTATCTGTCCATCATTTCTGTCAGTCTGTCTATCTGTCCATCATTTCTGTCTGTCTGTCCGTCTGTTTATCTGTCCATCATTTCTGGCTGTCTATCTGTCCATCATTTCTGTCTGTCTGTCCGTCTGTCTATCTGTCCATCATTTCTGGCTGTCTATAGATATTTAATAGATATTAACATAATTACACAATCACTTGATGAGGTGCTGTTGCTGACTTAGTGCATGTCTGTTGTCTGTCTGTCTGTCCATCATTTCTGTCTGTCTGTCCGTCTGTCTATCGGTCCATCATTTCTGTCTGTCTATCTGTCCATCATTTCTGTCTGTCTGTCCATTTGTATCTGTCTATCTGTCCATTTGTGCCTGTCTATCTGTCCATCACTTGTGTCTGTCCATCTGTCTGTCTGTCACGTTGTACTTTCACAACACCACATTTTCCATAATCTGCGTCCCCAAACTCTGTTTCTGTTGTTCTTTAGCTCAGCGAGAAGGAAACTCATAAGACGCTGTGGCTTTTATTGGACTCTGGCTTCCTAGTGACTTTGATTACACTCTGTTCTGCTTCCAAACAAACTCAAATAATAATAATGTGGCTAAACGCAAAGGACACCAGCGTGCATATGTGTAAAATACAGTGACTCTGACAGACGATCAGCAGATTCTGACCATCAGAATGAAGTCTGATCTGTATTCTGACCCGTGAGGCACAGACATCTGCATTCGACACCGTTTTATTCTGTCAGCTCATTGTCCAGAAGCATCACTGTTTTTGAGTTGTGAACTTACAGTTTGGTTGTGTTTTGTGGTTTCAGAGAGCCCAGAAAGACGAGCTGGAGAAAATCGAGAAACACATCAAATCCTCAAAAGACAAAGAAGCAAGCAAACCTCTGGACAAACCTGAGCAGTGAGGCTCAAAACACACACACAGTTCATATAAACATGGAACTGATTGAATTTATTGATCAAAACATCCTTATGTTACACCTGGCATTCAACGCTTTTAATATATCTTTTTGATGCTCACAGGTTTCTCCATCAGCTCTCCCAGATTCCTGATTTCTCCGGACGAGTCTTCTGTATTCTCTTTCAGTCGACCTTCACTGAATGCATCTCGTCTGTTCAGCGCAAACTCCAGATTCTGCAGAGAGTCTGCAAGGTACGTCTGCGCAGTTCAAAAATCAACATACGGCAACAAACCAGTTCAGTCTTTGTATCGATTCATTTGAATCAAATTGGTGAATCAAACACAGGAATCATTGGTGTGAATCAGTCAGGCAGCTCACTTGCTCACTGAATCGAATCAGCTTGACTCACAGGTTGTTTTGTCCAATAATGACGGATAAGAGAGAACAGACGTCTCACACACATGCAGTCCGGTTTTGTCCCTGAGTCTGGTTTCTGGTCTTCTCTCTCCAGGCTCTTCAGAGCGGTTCTGGAGTGCTGCAGGTTCTCGGTTTAGTTTTGGCCTTTGGGAACTTCATGAACGGAGGGAATCGCACCAGAGGACAGGCGGATGGCTTCACGCTGGACATTCTGCCCAAACTCAAGGATGTCAAGAGCAGCGTAAGACATATATATATATATATATATATATATATATATATATATATATATATATATATATATATATATATATATATATATACACACA